GCCGAGCAGGGAGCCCGACGCGGGACTCGATCCCGGGACTCCAGGATCATGACCTGAGCCGAAGGTAGTCGCTTAACCAACTGAGCCACCCAGGCGCCCTAGTATCTTTAATTTCTATCACAGAATCAGACAGCAGCCACTTACCTAGGACAGTCAGAGTTGCATTTGCAGAAATGCTTCCTGCACTGTTCTGAGCTGTGCAGCTATAAACCCCGATGTCCTCGATCTTCACATCCACGATAAAGAACACATCATCCTCAGGCATAACATGCATGCGTCTCTCCCTCGCGGCGGGGAAGTCTGTGCCCCCATCCTTTTGCCAGGCTATCTGCGGGGCTGGATGTCCCAGGGCAGCGCACTCCAAGCGTGCCATGGCCCCAGCACGGATGGTAAGGTCCATGGGGGTCTTGGTGAAGGAAGGGAGCACTGAAATCAGAGAAAGAATGTGGGCATTAGCACTATAGAGTTTTAGAAGTTCATTTTCATTTTTTTTTTTAATATATACTTACAAATGCCCCTGCCATAGGTCAGGCTGGGGTTATTTCTGACTGCAAGACAAGGAATCTGAAGTTGAGATGAAGAGATCCCCTCAAGGTTACACACAGGTACAGAAATGATGAAGTCAGGCCAAGACACAGGTCACCTCCTATACGGACTGAAGGTCTTTCTCCTATTTTCCAGTTACTTTTTAGTTTCCTCAGTAATTATCTGTGAGATCTTGGGCAAATCAATTAATCTCTCTGTACCCTGACCACTCACTTCATCATCTTCTTTTTCTTAAGTCCCTCCTGGCTCTAACATTCTATGACTTTAGATCTGTGTTTTGTCCTACAATTTTAAACTCAAAATTGTTCTATGCATCAGGCCTCAGCAATCATTTATAGAATGAATGCATTAATGAATCATATACAAAAATCTTCTACCATGGAAGGTACAAATGATTAGATAATAGAGTGGTGAGGTTCCTGTCATAAAAAAATGTATTTGGGTCACACAGAGCAAACAATTACATATTTAATTTATTAACAGCAGCTAATACTTATTGCATTTGGTGAGCGTTCACTGTATTCCAGGCTAAGTCCTTTACACCAATTATTTTATCTAATTATCATATCTCTGTAAGGTAGGTACTATTGTTCCTAATAGAAAGATGTGGAAATGGAGGCACATGAAGGTTAAGTAACTTGGTAATTACCGAGTCACACAGCTATAAGCCGGAGTGGCAGGAATCAAACCCAGATCTCTGAATTAAAGGTGGTGTGCTGGAACGCCTCACGGCCTCCCACATCCGACTCATTTATTGTGAACTCCCAAAGAGCACAACCCACGGGTGGCTCATCTCTGTGCTACCCTCCATGATGGGGTCCTAAACGCAATAACTGCTCACGTAGATACCAAGAATCTTAGTTTTGTGGAGTGAGAGGTAGAGAAAGGAAGGGTGAGGTGGGGAGCTGTGAACAGAAGACAGGGTTAGGAATAAGAGAAAGAGAGAAAACCAAATCTAAAAGGTGTCTTTAAATGCAAATGGAAAAGTTAGATCACATACTATTTACTGTAAGCTTGGCTTTGACAGAGTAGGATGAACCGAAGTGATTGGAGATGACACACTGGTATTTCCCTTCACTGGTAAATTCCACGTTGCGGAGCCGGAGAATGGTGGTGTACTCCATCACCTCGCCTCCTTGGGCCCGCAGGTGTGCATAGTTTTCCATTTCGGCATCATGCAGTAGTTCATTGTCTTTTTTCCAAGCAAAAGTCATTGGGGAGTCACTGCTGCTGGCGGCTGAGCAGATAAAACTCAAATTGGAACCTTTTATTGCCGACTGTGTTTCTGGCTGGACAGTGATCTGGGGCTTAGGAAAATCATCTGTTCAAGATGGAGAGGAGGAAACAGGACAATTTTAAGGCCTAGGAGTCCAAATGCTACTCAGTTTTTAATACCAAGAAACTCAAAACAAGTGAGGGCTTAGGTTTTACCCTTTGTGTATGTTTCATAGATGGACTAACAGTCCTCATGTTGAAATGATGGCCTGGGAGAGTGTTTATATTCCAAAATAATAGTCT